AAATTATGAAGTATCTGCTTTATTGAGAAGCTGAATTTGGGGCTGGAGATTTAGCTCAATGGTAGAGCACTTGCTACTTGAGCCCCAGAACCAAAGAAGAAGGAGATGGCGATGGAGATGGAGGAGACAAGGAAGAGAGGAAGGAAATGGGAAAGAGAAGAGTAAGGAGTAGAAGGTGGGAGTAGGGGAAAAGCTTGCTGCTGCTGCTGCTGCTGAATTTAAACAAGGCACGGTGGCACACATCTTGTCCAGCACTCGGAGGCTGAGGCAGGAAGGTTGAAAGTCTGAGCTCATTCTGGGAAACTCAGGGACTGAGTGAGCTCCTGATTAAAAAATAAATACAAAAAAGGCCTGAAGATGTAGCTCAGAGCAAAGGCCCCGGGTTCAATCCCCAGATTAGAAACAAAGCAAACAAACAAACAAAAAACCCTATGAATTTAGAAGTTACAGCCCTGGTTTCAGGGATTGGGGTTCTGTATTGAGCCTCTTCTTCCTGCAAGGAGATCTTTCTTCTTCTTGTCCAGGTTTGCATGAAAGCTGCAAGCATCCATAGTGTGTATTTTTTTCTGGCTCCTGATCCTTATATTCTTATCCAGTTAGAATAGATTTGATGGAAGAACTAGATCTAAAATAAATAACTGTAATGAACAGCAGCTTACTTTTCTTGGTTAAAGTATAGAAGTATATAATTCAAAGTGGGTTTGGTAGCTATATTCAGAAAGACTTGTGGAAGACTTAATCTATTTTATGAAATGAAGTGTTGCCGGATTCTAGCATTAAAAATAAAGGCGACTGAAAGTTTAAGAACATGCCTCTAATCCCAGCACTAGGAAGGCTGAGGCAGGAGAATCGCTACGAGTTTGAGGCCAGCCTGGGCTCCATGGTGAGTTCAGGGCCAGCTTGAATTACAAAATGTGATCCTGTCTCAAAACACAAACACAAAAACAAACAAACAAAAAAGTAAAATCTTAAGAACAACAAAAGTCCTCAGAGCCTCAGACAACTACCTTGTTGGTTTTCCACAGGGCACTGAGGTTTGAATTATGATCCAAGATGACTACTCTTGAAGTAGCCCTCACATCTGTGTCCTAACCAACAGGAAGAGGGTAGGAAAAGAAGACAAATTTATGCCCTGTCTGTTTTTTAAAGACTGTTGCCACAACTGGCCGCTTTATACCTCCTACAGCCATTTGCCAGCATGTAGTTGCAGGGCTACACTGGCTGTGAGGTAAAAGAAAACATTGTCTTTCTTCTGGGTGGCCACATGCTCATTTAAAATAAGGATGGCTGGGTGTGGTGGTGCACGCCTGTAATCCAAGGCTGAGGCAGGAGGATCGCTGTGAGTTTGAGACCAGCTGGGCTACATAGTGAGTTCCAGGTCAGTCTCAACTATATAGTGAGACCCTGTCTCAAAACAAAACAAAATAAAAAATAAAAATAGAATAAAATAAGGATGGTCCACTGCCTAAAATTGGATGGTTTCGCTACAGTGTAGAAAGTGACTGGATAGTGAGGGATGGCCAGTGATCTCTGACATCCACTTCTCTATTTGTCTTTGTACACCTGAGATGCCAGACAATTCTTTTGCAATTGCCTCCAACCCACTAAGTCTCAGTGGGGTATATGAGCAGATTTCACAGACCTAAGAGCGTAGGGGAAAAGTAGTCATTAACGAAAATCATATTAAAAACCATGCTTTAGTACTTCAATTAGGGAAGTACCTCTGTTTGTGGCTTGAATGTGGGTTTTAGAACTGATATTTTCAGAAGTCATTGAGTGAATATAAGATGTTGACTCCTGTAACTTTGACTCTGTGTGGTACTGATTTTGTATATGTGAACAAAAGCATTTAAGTCAAAATTACACTTACACCAATGATTTTCATCAAGAAAAGTATTTTTCTAGAGCAGATTTCATTATGTCAATTTAATGTCAGGGCCCATTTTATATAACAGTTAAATGTTCTCATTTTTCTGCTTTACTAAAATTATTTTCTCAGGAATCAGTTCCAGTTCTTCTATATGTAAACATTAGATTAAAATTATAGGGCCGGGATTTAGCTCAGTGGTTCCAGCGCCTGCCTGGCAAATTCAAGGACCCGAGTTCCATCCCCATTACCAAAAAAAAAAAAAAAATTTA